AAGGGAAGTCATCGCGTGCCTTGTCAGAAGAGCCGGCAAACCAAAACAGGCAATCTAGTATCGCACGGCACGCGAAAGTGCTGAAAGCAGTCTTAGCACCTATGCCCACTAATGAGCCTACGATTCCTGCTTGGTTCAAACATGTCGATGCTCTTTTTGCGGCACTGAGCATTCCTGAGGAAATTTAGGGCACGCTTCTGTTACCATTTCTAAGTGACAAGATGCGCACACTCGTCGCCAATCAGGCCGAAGCTGGGGTAATGCCGTACGCAGATGTAAAATTAAGAGTGCTGAGGGAGCTGCGTATGACTCCGAGCAAGTACCGCCGTATGTTTGTGAATATCAAAAGAGAAGCAGGCGAGTCTTGGAGCCAAGTGACGGCGCGCCTGCAGACTATGTTCACATACTACTTGAAAAGTAGAAAGGTGGAGTCGTTTGAAGATCTTTGGGAGTTACTAATCGCTGATAGACTCAAGCAGTTAATGCCAAGTGAGCTCCGCTAACTGGTGCTTCAGCAGGAAGTGAAGGGCTGGTTGAAGCCCAAGGATATTACGGAGTTGGCCGCCAATTTAGAAGAAAGCCTCGACAGCAGGCAGGGCAGTTACCACTGTGCAGAATCAGGAAATTTCAATTGCGGGCCGCAATCCAAACCCTTTGCTAGAACAAATTTCAGCCCCAAATCAGGATCGTGTTTAGGCTGCGGAAGATGGGGTCACTTTCAGAGAGATTGGGAGCTCTCACATAACACTGCTGCTAATACAGTCGAAATTTCCTGCATAGGTTCCGATAATAAGTGACCATTTGAAAGCCGAGTCCCACCGTCGCGACACTCTCCCATTGTGCAAAACTCGCTGATGAGAGATCCGCAGATTGAGATTCTCATGGGACGCAAGTCCTGTTTTGCACATGTTGACACAGGTGCAGATGTAACAGTGGTACGAGAGAATGAAGTGTCTGCTGAAGTTTTGGACCAGAGTAGGGGCACAATAAGGCTAACAGACGCTTTTGGTCATGGTGTTACTGCACGCCTGCTGTACGTACCTCTGGCTCTTCCAGCCTCGTCGGGAAACGCTGCTCAGCCTGTAAAAATGCGATGCGCAGTGACCGCTCAGTTGAATACGAGTGTGTCGGTATTGCTCAGTCCCACTGATTATGAGTGCCTTCGTCATCACCGGCAAAAGCCACTGCACGATCTAAATGAGGGTAATAAGAGAGAGATCAGCTGTTTAAGACAGGGCATTACACCGAAGCAGCATTCGCCGATGAGAGAGCCAGAGCATGTGCCTCGAGGTGTTTACCTTAGCGCTAACTCTGTGCAGCGCACAGTGGAGAAACAGGACGACCAAGCAAGAGAGCAGCAACCGACTAATTTTGCATCACTTGTACAGCAGGTGCAGTTGAGAAGTTGCCATGAATGTGTTAATGTGGATAGCGCACGGCTTAGTCCATTCGATGGAAATGCTCTCGATGGAGTGAAGGAATGTGGCGAGCCACATGCCGACGTGCGGCGCGTCAGGTGAAAAAGGGGTCGCACGTCAGAGTAACTGATAGGGCACAGTTGGATCAAAAGCAGTTATCTCAGTCATTGGAACCAGCTAAAGCGTTAGCGCACGACGGCCTCTGCGGTGGTAACTTCTCAGAAAAGGAAAGGAGAAAGAGCGTTAAAAATGCGGCTAGCAATGGGGTTCGGCCGTGAAACGAGGGGGTTCTACGTCTTGCGTATTTCCCATTTAAAAGGAAAAGTCCCCAGATTAGGACAATCGCGTGCCCGACTGAAGTGTAAAATGGAGCCGTAGTTCTTTGGAGGATTGAACTATCAAATTTGTTGAAGGTAATTTTGGTTTGCGTTTTTTTTTTTTTTTTTCAGGTTCGAAATAGGCATCTTATGTGACGAAAGGTTATTTTAGTAACAAGTTTTGCATTCGCTTGTTTTAGTGTTTAGGTACAGCGCATTACCGAAGAGTGGTGACGTGGTGAAAGGCTTTTAGTAAAAAGTTGGCCATTTGTCGGTTATGGTGGTTCCAGAGTGTTGAACACGCTGCCGTGCAACGTAGAGGCACAGGCAGCGTTTGATTGAGTTAGAGGCCTTCGCGTTGATTTCAGATTTTCTGAGTTGACGGCAACCAACCCAGCAACGCTTTTTGTTTGGCTACGAAGGCATCGGAAAGGGCAATGAGAGGTTGCCTCTTCCAAACGATAGGTGAATGGAAACGATCAGTCGTATTCTTCAGTAAGAGACTGAACTAGTCGCGACGGGAGACGTCCACAGTTGAATAAGAGGCGAATGTGGAAAAATAAATTGTTCGTATTGAAGGCGCACTGAACGAGGCTGCTGGTGCTCTTTTGCGTCTCGGATGATCACTGGGTTGCGTGATTGTAACTCTTTGTAGTAAGGTGGCGTTTTGTCCTGTCTCATATGATTGAGTTTTTTTTTTGTTGTTGTTGTTGTTGTATTACAACTCAAGTAGTCTCTGTGAACTGAATGATTACACAGGAGTTTGTGATAATAGTTCCAGCGTGATGCAAAAATATTTTGTTTGTTGTACCAAGCATTTGTTGTTGTGTTGTTGTTGAGATGCGAGCTTGTATCTAATGTGTGGTTTGTGTGTTGTGTAGGAATAATTTCGTAGATAAAATAGGGTAGCGTTTGGGAAGTAAGTTCATTATCATTTTTTTCTTGGTGCGATCCGTTGAGACTTAGGTATACCTATACCGTTAGGTCCGTCGCTCTCTTTGAGTGTGTCATGCGGGGCCTGGAGGGTGCATAGAGTGGGTCTCCCGTGTTGGGACAATGACCGTGTGGTGTTGTGAGTTTAAAAGACAATATGCCGCCAGACTATGCACGGTGCGTGTGCCCTGTGACAAGCTAATGCAAACTGACTGGCGCTGTGGACTTGACATCCTGAATGCGTTATTCAGTGTTGTGCATTACGAAAGTGTTTTCTCTCGGAAAACCATTTGAGAGCATTATGTATATGTGTTGCTGCGTAATTCGCAGAAGGACGCGAAAGTTCTCCTGTTGAGATGGAAGTGATAATCGGTTCACGCATGTGCGTGCACCGAGAGTAAGTTCATTTTGAGTGATTTTTTCGTTTGTTTTTGTATCGCGTTACTGGACATCGAGTATCCAGTAACACTCTTGAGGGGGGAGGAGTTAGTATGAGGCACCAATTACCAGCGTGTTGGGTGCAGCGCAATTAATACGGCTGATGTAGAGCGCGCAGCCAGTTCCCGACCCGTCAACTAGCGAAGCCGATCGGTTCCGCGAAGGCGAACGTGGAAAACCCCGAGCACGGGAAAGAAAGGAGACTTCTTTGTTCGCACAGTCCACGAGCGGAACCGTCAAGGTCGCCCCCATTCAGGATTAGAAGGGGGAAGCTTGCTCGGAAAAGCGTCTGGCAAGAGGTAGGTCAGGCGCCACCGTCTGAGTTTAAGCCATTGTTGACAAGCACGCGAGCCACTGAGAATGACGCGGGGACGCGACCACTTGGCTGACCCAGACATAGTGGTGGCAGGGAGACGAGCATAATCTCCCCCGCTGTTGCTAGGATGTCGGGGCGCCTCGCTGTCGCATGCACACCTGGTAAGCGCACAGAGCCCAACGGTGTACCCACCCCTCTTAAGGAGGCTTCTATGAAGCAACGATTAATGAGAGAACTGACGGGGCTCGAGCGTGCGAACAGCTGCCGAAGAAAGTCGGCCGACGGAGGCAGCACGGCCTGGCATGGGAGAGAGTGTCACAAGCGCAGAACCTATCCCTTTGCGTGTTTTATTTGGTAACGTGGTTTTAACCAATGTAGTATCTGTTATGAAGGTGTTTCTGCAATTGGTTGTGATGATGCGAGTTCCAACATGTGATTGGTGTTTGTGAAGACTCTTTGTTCAACCGAGGGTTGAAAAGAGGATGTTTGAATTTGAAATGAGAGCGGATGTTCGGGCTTGGACTCGGGCAGTAGCCTGAGGCTGCAATAAAGCGTCTCTTCACCGGACTGCGGCTCCTCCTTCGCGCTGCCACTGTGCACTCGAGTCATCGAGGGGACCCATCCCGAACCTCAAACATCTTCCCTCCTTGGCTAGTGTAGAAGCTAGTCGAAGAGGAGGAAATTAACTCTGCCTATGTGCCTGGCCTATGTCCACTTCTTTTTGATTTCAATAATGATATCCTAAACCCCAATTTGTTTCCTGAGCCGCTCTCCTCTTTTCTCATCTGTTAAGGTTACACCTATTGTTTTCCTTTCCACTGCTCCCTGTGTCGTCCTCAATTCAAGCTGAACCCTCTTTGTAAGCTTCCAGGTTTCTTCTCTGTAGGTAAGTACTGGCAAGATGCAGCTGTTATATACCTTCCTCTTTAGGTTAGAGGCAGATTACCATTCATGATATGAGAACGCTGCTAAATGTGATCCACCCTATCCTTATTCTTCAAGTTATTTCACTCATCTGAAATGAGCACCAATGACCGGCCTGGCACCGAGCGAGTGCTTCCTTCCAAATCTGGTCGAATTATCCTTCACCGAAGAAGGAGTGCTTGCTTGGCATTTTACGCAATGTTCTTTGAAGTTAGATTGCGCATTAAAGGATTAATAAAACTTATGAGCATTAAAAGTAAATTTATTCTTCTTTTCATAGATGTGTTCCATAAAATATCACATCACAATGAAAATTTACCCCAAGCTAAGATGCCATGTTTAACCTTATAAGAGCACTATTTCTTTCCTTATAAACAAAACTGATGCTCGTTTTCTTAATATGAGAGGCCTCATCGATTGCATGCTCAATCCTATTTCGAAGTCTTGCAGCTTCCAATGTGATTTCATTACTGTGGCCATCAGACAGTTCATGATTTTCTTTCGTTTTAGTTCTTATTTGGATACACATTTTCAAACTAAAAAAAACTTGCACGAGTTGTTCATCGCTGCTTGTGTTCTTCGTTAGCTCTGCATAGTCCTATTTTAGCTGTTTCCATGCCGAGAATTAGCCGCATGATTAAGTAACATGCTTACCTTTCTCGTTCGCACCCTGGAACACCTCAGCAAAGCCTTTTTTCTTCATAACAGGCAAGCTCCGAATGTAATTCCTGGCCTGGGAACGTGCACAAATCGTGGTTACTCTTTGACACTTCTCATCAAAGTATGCACATGAAACAGGGATCATAAACCAAGTTTTAAATACCTGAACACATGACATATACTCTAAACTGTCAAGTTAAAATCTGACATTATTAGAAAAGATAAAAACATAAATCAACGGTGAAGTTTTCCATTTTTCACGGAATAAGGCTTAGCAAGCATAGTGTCATGTGGTCCACAAACTCACTCATGAGTTGACTCACCCAGACTCAGATCAGGCCATGAGTCTGAGTACGAGCAAGTCCAGGAGGCGACTGATACATTATGGTTAGCTTGAGTTTGAGTGAGTCTAGTGTCACCCTTTCATTGCAAACCAATGGTGCAATCTACTCATCTCCAGCACTACCATCGGCCTCATATCGATTTACATTAACACTCAAGTCTATTCATACATACCTTAATACACTAGCATTCATGCACTCCCTCAGTATTTATTGACTAAAGGCAGGTGCAAGGGGTTCTATGACATCCCCCCACAAGTTATTTCACGGGAAGTTGTTGATAATGATGTTTTTTGCGGATTGCATATATTTCAATAGAGTGTCCTCTCTGGATTGAAACCACTGTAACTCCATTTGAAGCTGCAAGATCAAAATGCGCATCGTAGAGCAAAGATTATGTCAAATAATGACATTAAAATACATCAACATTATGATAAAAAATTTAATATTGTGCTAATGATCTCATTGAGGCTAAAAGCACAAAAACCGAGACATAGACTATAATTGCACACTTCTAGCCTATGTATGGGTTTTTGCACTGTAAGCCACAATGAATCTGCACCAACTTAATGGGTAGCTGAAAACATGTTTGGTTGAGTCACAGTCGTCTACACTAATTTGGCAGCGATTCGCAGCTTTAAAGCGGTAAATCGCACAGTTTATGCAGACAGCTCAAATCTTTCTAACCCTTAGGACTTGGTCTACAGACCCAATGAGTTCATACAATATCGTCAAAATTAGTTCAGGGTCCGTTAAACAAAAAGTTCAGAGCTTCTTTTATGTACACCTACATTGCACAGTACGTGTGAGCCTAAAAAATTTTACCCCCATCAAAGCAATATCATCGCAGCCGCGATCAAACCCGCGTGTTCTAGGTCAGTAGCCGAACACCATCACCATTGGAGTGCTACTGGGCAATTGCAAACAGCAGCGAGCATGTCATGCGCATGAGAGCTCAAACACGCTTGGCACATTACTAACACAAGCACGTGTGCAATGATGACAAGAAAAACAAATGCCCAGAAAATAAAAACAACCTTCCGGCGTATTAATGATGATGAAGTGGACTGAAAAAGTAAACTTTTGCCATTTTGCTAGCCATGAAAGATTAGAGATGGACTCCGAAACTGGAAGATCGTGCGCGCTTCTAATCTTGGAGGCCATACAGCTACACTCTGTTTCATGAGTGCCATGCAGCAGAACTTCTGGCGAAGCGAGATGTAGTGCCCATGTTCAGAATCCGTAGTCCATTTTCAAGACCTGTAGAAACCGTCTCGTCAGAAGACTTTCACTTGTAATCTTTTCGGCGTTTTCGAAATGCGATCTGTCAGGCCATTTGGCCCCACTTTTCATGGAAAGCATTTATTGTGGCTCTGTGATGCAAAAGAAAAAGTAATCGCTTGTTCCTGTTATATCATATAACATGCAAATGGCGGAACTGTGCAACATGCAACTGTGCCTCGTATACATAAAGTTTTCATCTCTTAAGTGCTAACTGTTAGTAAGACATTGCCTAAAATTTTACATTTAGTCGGTACAGAGACACGCTCCACAGCGTCACGGAGGAACCGGCATTGGTTCTGAAAAACGTGGCTGCAATGCTGGAATCAGTTCGCTCACCTAGTCCATCAAGCGGCCGCCGTGCGCTCTGTATCTTGTCAGCTCCTAACTGATACTTCCATTCGCTTTAGATTAATGTCCTTAAGCTTCGACAACACAGTATCTGGATCAATTCAGCACTCTTCGTGATAGCCACACTCAAATAATCGATGTTGTAAGCTTAGAGAGTGGCGTTGAACGCTTCACCAATCTCGGAGGGCATACATTGCACATTGGCAAGTTTTTCCAATTATCAAGAGGTGACGCCATTTCTCCAGGCGCCAGCTTAAGGGGACATTACTTGATTTGATCCAAAGTTTTTCTAATACGGGGGCCATGATCAAAAAAAGCTGCTGTACGACTTTCAACCCCAGTGTGTTCCAGGGTTGTGCGCAAGTTTTGTTGAAGAAAGGAAATTCAGACGCTGCGCAAGCTCACCCCTGGCAGCGCTCACCGCTTGCAGACAACAGGGCGGGAAACGATACATTTAGATGTGCTCACCCTCTTGATTGGTCGAGGACTGCAGCTACCACAGTGCTGCACGGAACTACCGAAACAGATTATAGCCACTGCAAGCCAAACTCGAGCAAGTCAACAAAAAAAGCTGATCCCTCTATATAAGAATCGGTATAACATGAAAGTGAAACAAGTCTTTACAGAAGTAGCCAAGCATTTATTGTGCATTGTTTCAGCAACAGCAACAAACTGCAAAGTCAAGTTGAGAACTGCAAGCAGCTTGAAACTTGCAGTGCACACCTCAAGCAGAAAACACGCACGAAATTAGCATACACAGGACGAGCATGGGCTGACAACCGTCAAAGCTCGACACTTAAATAGCACTGTACAAGCACGAAGACCCACAAAACGAGCGCACAAGTATACACAAAACAGGCGTGAACAACTGCCACAATTATTTCTGCTTCATGTGTCAGCAGCGTGCTCTTTTCATAAATGTGCCACGGCAGCGTGCAGAGTAATCTTCGTCTTCTCTCTATTAACAAGTCTGATAAGCATGAATGCAGGAGAGGTCACACTTCGTGGAGGCGATGACCTTTAAAGTGTGCCCAACGCGAGCCCGTCGCACCATCTCGCCACTGATAATGAAAACGCACTAAAGTTTCGAAGTACTGAGGACTGCCAAACAGTGTATGATGTACATGAATGGCTTGCCATTAGCACTTCAGACAACGTGTACTCCGTGGCATAGTGGTTAGTGCAGCAAGCTGAGAATCGAAAGGTTGCTGATTTGACTCCGCGCAAAGAATGCTTGCCTTCTGGTTCTTTTCTTTGCAATCTTTTAGGGGTCCTGAAATACTTTTTCAAGTAGCCATGGAATGAATTCACAAAAAAATCTTATTGCCTCACGAATCCAATGCAGCAAACATAGAATCCGTCCAGTACGAGGGAAGTTACAAAGATTCGTCGCACGCTGCAATCGCATTCTCGATTGATATGGGGGGTTGAACGTCTCAAAGCCACCATATGATTATGAAAGACACCGTACTGGAGGGCTCCGGAAATCTTGACCACCTGGGGTTCTTTAACGCACGCCCAATCTGAGCACACAAGCCAACAGCATTTTCGCCTCCACTGAAAATGCAGCCACCGCAGCCAGGTCGTGCTGACCAGCACGACCTGCTGGTCAGCAGCCTTAGCCACTAGACAACTATGGCAAGGCTGCAATTGCATTCTCTCTTCTCTAGTTTTGACTGAAGTGCTGAACGCTAAGTAGGGGAGGGGGATGACATGGGCAAAGAAAATACGTCACCCACGCCTCTTGACTTCGAGCGCTTTTTTTTTCTTGAAATATGCCACTTTTTCAGTGTGATTGCGGTCGCATGGCGTGTACAAGTCAAGGCCTCCCACGGCGATTCCTTTAACGATTGAATGCACCATGTTCAAATCAGCCAATAGCTAATATGACCTTCTACGAGTGATTTTTGAGCTTCCTCCATCATTTGTGGAGTAAAGAGAAAGCAATTTTTAGCTGGCTCTGACAATTTATTGTGAATTATTGTGAATTGTGCTATGCTGTAATATTTGGCTCGCCTGTTCTTAGGAGCCTCTATTACCGATAAGCAGCATTTTCTGACCACACTCAAAAAGTGTTGCAGGGCCCCTGTAATATTTAATTTTCGACGTCACTTTCATCACGGAATCGCGTTAGCACAAAGGTGGTCAACCCCGGCATAAAACACTACGTTTTTGTTAAATATCTTGAGCAGCATAGTTTAAAAGAAATGATTCAGTCTCAAAAATCAAACTTTGGAATATAAATTCATCCGAACATCAGTCGTGAAAATGCAATAGGACAATGGGAACATTGACGGTGAATTTGTGAAGTACAAAATATCCAGCAAGTCTGAATTTTTAGAGTGCGAAAAGTCTGTCGGCGACTGTAATGGGTGAAAAGCAAAGCAAAAGATGCAAGACTCAAGCACTCAAGGTGCAGCGAAAGCAGCAAGCAAAGATAATGGTCACTCACAGGTGGAATACATTATATTTCATGCATGAATAATGGAAAATTCCAGCATTACTACTGAAGCTCACGTGCCGTGCTAGCAAGGAGTAGTATATTCCACGCCACTTTTATGCGGCACGTACTATGTTTGACAGATGGGCAGGTGTTTTGATGTCCGTCTCAGAGAGCACCTGCTAAGCCTCTCGGCGGTTGCCAGCAATCATTTAGCGATACATTGCCGAGACTGCAGGCGGCTCCCCGCACTTTGAGGGTACAATTGTCCTCGCCAAAAATGGCGATGAAATTATTAGTGAAATTTTTGAAGCATCCAAAAGTCAAAGGCAGGGGGACAAAAGCAGGCCTTCCATTTCCCTCTCAAGTAAAGCAATAAGTTCTACAGCACATGCCTTTTTAATAGTTTTAATCTGTGCTTTACACTGCTCTTATTATTCTTTTTATTTTTAACATTTTAGATCTTGTATGTCTTACGTGTGAGGCTGCCTGGGCTTCTCTAGCTTTAACGCATTCAGGCCCGGTTGGTTTCGGCATTAAGTACATAATTTTTTTCTTTTTCTCCTTACATATTGGGGGGTGTACCTTGTGGCATGATTGCTTTCGGTTGTTTGTCTTTTTGGCAAGGGGGTGTCAGTGCTTTTCATCGCCTCTTTTCAT